GCTCAACCTGCTGGAGCGTCCTGAATGGAGCCCTGTAAAGAGGGTGCGGTGAAGTCGGCTGGACAAACATCCTTCCATCTCGAGACGAGTCACATGACTGAAGTAGCTTTCCACTGTTGGGGTGTGTTGTACGTAAAACCGAGAAACAGCAAAGTCGCAGCAAGTGGCACTGTGTGTCTGGGTTCCTCTGCTCCGCACTCAAGCTCGAATCCCACGCCCGGTGCGTGCGGCACCATGTTGGCTGTAAGCAGCTCTCGAGGAGCAGCAGGAGTGCAGCGCCGCCAGGTTGCAGGTGGAAATGGAAACTCATTCTGCTTTGGGTTTTTGCCCAGGCAATAACAGACGTGTGTGTGCTTCTCCCCTCTGGGAAAGGATCTTAATTTTTCAGGCCAAAGTGTTTTGAGCAGCAGTTTATCAGTTTCCTGACCAACCCTTACCTAGAATGATTTCTTTATGTCTTCAACTTAGTATAAAGGAGAACATTTTGCGTTGAATATTTTTTATATAAACATGTTAAGAGTAACTTAAGCAACTGTTTTTATATCTAAAATACTGATATTTAGGAATCAGTTTTCTTAAAGTTTACATTCTTTGGTACATTGGCTGAAATAGTTTTTGAGCAGCTGCTTACACACGCAAAGGGAAATGCAGAACGTAGCGGTGCTGGGAGACCCAAGTAAAACAACGCACCTACCAGAATTATCCAGGCAACGGAGTGAATGAACATACCAATCAATAATGGAGACTGCACAAAGTAATTTCTAGCTGATCAACTGCAATGAGCCACTTTGGTTACACACTTTAAAAATTACTCTCCTGATGGAAGGTTCTATGTTCTTGCCTCTACAAGATCGTTCTGGGACAAGGCAAGGTTAGCAGGGGGTCTGGATAAGGAGACATGTACCTGTGAGCTTTGTCAGAGGAGATTCAGGGAAGAAAAGCATGTGTAGATGGTTATATGTTTCTCTAATCAGAATCATCTATGAATATTTAAAATGAGACCAGTTCTACTACTGAATCCTGGGGTACCCAGAAAAATATGTTTGTTGTATAGTTTCTTTTCTGTCTTTAGCCATGACCAAAGAGTCCCCTGGTCCAGCAGTGGTACATTGAAAAAAAGGAGTCCACAAGCTCTTCCTCGGCCTCCCCACTTGTAAAAAAATCTCTGAGAATGAAAAGAGCTGACTGTGCCCTTCTCACTGCCACAGCTCTGGCACCCTGACGCACGCCTGGTTCCCAGTGGGGGCACCCTACGGCCGTGGCATGGTGCCTTATACACAGTGGGTGCCACACGGGCATAGTGGTGCTCGCAGGAGGCAGAACCGAATTTATATTTGTTGAATTAATGACTGAGTTGCTTTAGCCAGTAATTAAGTTTGCCATTTCTTCAGTGGCATGGCTGCTGAATTGCCATTCTGCTCAGAACCCTCATCAATTTGGTGAGATATTTACCTTTCTTGGGCCTCGGTTTCCTCATCTATTCAACGGGACTAGAGACACCGGCTCTGTATACCCCACTGAACGACGAAGGAGACAGTGCAGGTGAAGACACCCGGTGAACATTTCCTACGCGACCCCCTCTGCAGCTCAGGCTCTCAGCCTGCCTCTGCCAGGCGCTGATTTCTCCTTACGGGTGGGAGCTGCTGGCCAGCCGCCTGCTCTGGCAACTAACAGTGCCACAGATTTGGGGTCAGAAATAATGATTTTTGCCTTGGCATTCTCTTAAAAATTCTAGGCAATATCATCTGGTCCGGGAGATTTGGTGACATCATCAATTATATCTGAAAAGGCGGGTTTACCGCCGTATGTCTCACACTGGCTGTAAAAGACACTTTGAGGGGAGAGGCGCTGCCGCTGCCGGGAGCATCACCGGCCCCCTGACTCTGGCAGCCGAGCTGAGGCTGAGCCACATTAAGGGAATTAACCAGCATTTCAGGCAAAGTTACAGGGCTGGGAATCAGAAATGCTAGAACCGGGGTGAGGAGCAAATAGAAATGAGGTTGTGAACACAGAAGACCAGAATCAACGTGCTGGGAGAAATCAGGTTTGGGAACAGGATGATCAGGATGAAGGAGGGAGCTCTCCACCTGGAGAGGGGCGATGGGGCCCCTCTGTTTGGCTGTACTTGGGTGCATATCCTTGTTTTCCAGGACTGATGCTTTCCCTTGAGCCCCTCTATCTCCCAACAAAGCTGATCACCCCCATCTAAGGGGAGACCCTTAATAACCCCCTCTCCCTCTTGAAATCCCTTTCCCATTTGCCTCTGCCTTCTGCTGGATAAGCTTCCCCACTGAGCTCCTGCTCCTCTTTGCCCCATCAATCGCCTTGCTGGAATTTGCAATCTCGCCTGCTCTGTGTTTGTCCACAGCTGCCCAGCAGACCTTTGACCTTAAAAAGTACCCTCTCCCCTGCTATTTCCTCAAGCTCTTTTCCCTTGGAATTCCCACAGTACTTTGCTGGTTTGTATGGAACTGATACCTGTTTGCGTTATAATGATTTGTGTGTGTTTCATTTTGCTTATCACCCTGCGATCCTCATGAGGACAGAGATTGTCTGCCTTATTTATGTAACACCTGCAGTTCCCGGCATAAGATGCTACACTAGTGGGGCCAATAAATATTTACTGTGTTAAATTTTATGATAATTCTGATTTCCAAAAACGAGTAATATTTCTCTCCATTTTTTCCTCCTTCTAAAATGCAGCCACAATAATGTGATCACAATTACACAGTGGTTTTTCTATAAATAAAGCAGCTACTGGTTTCTGTTTTATCCTACTTAGACTAGAATATGCTTTCTTTATCTGCTTGGGTCCTAAAACATTTTCTAAGGCAAGAGTCATTTGATTTCTCCAGAAAATATTATTATCGTATCTTATTCTGTGAGCTCCCTGTCACGAATGTGGACAGCTGAGACCCTTCAGATTACTCCCTGGTCTCAATCCACAGCTCCCCCCCTGTGGCCTACAGTCTCTGGCACATTTCGCGGCCCTGGCAGGCAGGCAGTCCCCGCCACTCTTCCTGGCACGGCGCCGTGGTACCCAGCGGCACACTGCCCGCCTGTGGCTGCCCCTCACCAGCGCACCTGCCCTCTTCCGGGATCTTTGAGTTGTTTCCGTCACAGTCCTCACCAGCTGCCCAGCATCTCAGTTCTTCCTTTTCTTCCCAGGGCCCTTTGGGACTGTGTGGAGCAGCCGTGTGCTGCGGCTCTCAGCCCTGCCAGCTGTCTGACCGGTGGACACGGTGCTCTCATGCTCCCATCCTCAGACACACCACTCAGTTCTCTCCTGAGCCACAGGTTGAGACTGTGTCAACTCAAGTCTCAGACTTCAAACATGATGTCCCAACCTAGTTGATTTTCAATGGCTTTTGCTCTTTTCCAGTTGTGGCCAACAGCTGTACAAGGTTGTTCAGCTACAAACATGTGGACAGGCCGCTCCAGGCCAGGCTCTGCGTTGGGGCTGGGAAGAGCCTTTCTCTTTGTGAAGGAATCACTGAGCCAAGTGAACACTGGGCCCACAGTATTCCTGGGGGTGGGGGTGGGGGTGGGGGTGGGGATGAGCCATTGGGGAGGACAGACCATTGACTCAACTTGGGCTGTCATCAGAAAGGAAACTGAGGCCAGTCGGTGGGGGTGGGGGTGGGGATGAGCCATTGGGGAGGACAGACCATTGACTCAACTTGGGCTGTCATCAGAAAGGAAACTGAGGCCAGTCCTTGAATAGGCAGATGGGGAATAAAACAACGCCAGCCTGCAAACGTGTGAAGTGCTACACCTGGACTCTGCGACCCCGCGTCCCCTCTGGGACCTGGCACCTGCTACAACCAGAGGAGCTCCACTATGATGTTCTCCGAAATCCACTGAAGATCGGGCTGAGCCATCCGATGGGAAGAGAGGATACTTGAATGAGACATACACTGGTCCTATCCTGGGAAAACGCAAACCACTGGACTTGTAAAGTTGGGAAGCGGACGCCCCAGGCAGGAAGAGCTAGAGTGAGAATGTTGTAATCAAGCTACCTGTACGTTTTGTAATGATTTCAAGTGTGAGAATTTATTATCTAATCAAAAGGATTTGTGATTACTAATTAGTTACATTGTATCCAATCAGGACTTAGTAATTCGTGCCTCGTTGTGGATGCTGACCCTCACCCCCCGGCGCAGGTTGCGTGCTGGCTGGCAGCGCTGGGCTTGGGAATGCCAGGACCCCTTCCCTGGCTCTTGGTCCCAACACAAAGGAGCCAGCAGGCTGGGGTGGTAAGACTTTGGGTTCTATGAGGTCCCAAGGGCCCTGGAGGTGCAGCTGGCCAGGGGACTGACTGTTCCGGAGGGGTTCGTCAGGCTGTGCCACCTGAGCTGAGTAGCCCAAGTGAAAACCCCGTTTTGTTGAAATCTGGCTGGGAAGCGTAGAAAAAGGCTCTGGTGCCAGGGTTAACAGTCTTGCAAATATAATAAATATTTCTTTCTTTTCCCCAGGAAGCACACAAAGAGTAAAATGAATTATTACTACTTTGGAATAAACAGTAATGCTCTCTGGGTGAAGAGCCAACTGGCAGTTTTGAAAGATTGGGTTAATCAGACACAGGGAAATTTCTGATTAATTGGACAATTACTTCAAATTCTGAGTGAGCCAAGGCGATGTTAGAGAAATATCTTGAGAGACTGGGAATAAATTCAATAGCCCGAGGCAGAGATTTTTAAGCTTATAGGAGTAGAAATACACTGGCATTGCATGCCTGATTTTTATGGGCTCAAGTTCCCCAAATATATAAGGCCTATAACTATTTTTTAAGACCAAAGTGATTCAAAATCACTTTGGTTTTGAACAATTATGAAAAATCTGTTTGACATCTCTTGAAACAACTTTAGGACTCCAGGACATGGCAAAAACAAAACTTAGGGGTCAGAAGAGAGGGGTCATCACGTTTGACGATGGAAAATCCACACACAACACAAGCCCTTTTGGCTCCTTCCTGGAAGCCTAAGGTGGCATTGCCTCACCTGGTGGGGGCGTGTTTCTGTTCCTCCTCCTCGTCCGTGTCACTACTGATGGTGATGACGCTGACCGTAGGGCTGGGGGTGTCGGGAATGACAATTGTCTGCCGCTGCCGCTCCCTGGTGGTGCTGGAGGCCACGTCGCCCCATCCGCATGTGGCAGCGGTGCCACTGGCCGGGCTGCTGTGCACCACGGCACAGCGGGGAGGTGTGTTCTCCTTGACGCGTTTGGATCGCTGCGGGGAGCTGATGGCCTGAGAGGAGGACACCTCACAGGTGGAGACGTTTCTGTAACAACACAACCACGCAGCCTTACAGAGGACCGTCAGGCCCAGTGACGCCTTCCAAGGAGCCCAACAGCCTAGAAACACAAGCTTTGCCAAAGGCCAGTCAATCTCAATCTGTAACGGGGAAAGTGGCTGTCTCTAGGGATCTTTCAGTTAGTTACTACACAGCTGGGGAGCGCAGCCTGGCCTCCTCGGGGCTCTGGTTTGGCTCTGTGCCAGCTCCTGAGGGACAAAGGGTGCAGCCAGGGCTGCAGGGAATGGGCTGTGCCCAAGTGGTGCATGGGTCTTATAGGGCCAGATGCAACGGCCAGGACTCAGCTGTGTCTGCGCCATGCAGCCCTAGTGTCCTCAGGTTCAAGGTCCTACTTTGAGCTCTCCCTTCTTGTCCCCCTAAATGTACTTAAGTCTTGTTTTGGGGGGCAGTGAAAGAAGTGGTATTTACCAAATGAAGCTTGGGATTCCTTGCTGATGGCTGTTCTACTGTTTATTAAATTAAAACATTTATTTCTTAAGAGTTTCAGATGTAAAGGATATAACTTTGATGAACAATGGTTCAGCTTTCCTTCCTTCTTCCTCTGGAAAAAGGACATAACCATTCAAGTATTTGTGTATGTATAATTAAAAAAAAAAAAACAAAAAACACCCAAGAATAATTTTTCTGGATTTTGACCCCTGAGCCTCATATAACTTTGATGAACAATGGTTCAGCTTTCCTTCCTTCTTCCTCTGGAAAAAGGACATAACCATTCAAGTATTTGTGTGTGTATAATTAAAAAAAAAAAAACAAAAAACACCCAAGAATAATTTTTCTGGATTTTGACCCCTGAGCCTCATGGGAGGCTCACTAGTCTGTTTGAATTGTAATAAAAATTGGGAAAAGTGCAAGAAGAAAAAGGATGCTTAAAGAGAGATCTTTTAATCTTGATTTTGATCAACTTGAAATTCCTAATTAAATTAGCCAATGAGATTTCTGGTAACTTTAGGGAAAAAATACCTTCTTCCCTTCCCATCAAACCCAGGTAGAGGTTGAGAATCCCTTATCCAAAATGTTTGGGAACAGAAGTGTTTTGGATTTTGGATTTTTTCAAATTTTGGAATATTTGCATATGCATGAGACATCTTGGGGATGGGACCCAACTCTAAACACACAATTCATTTGTTTCATATACACTTTATACACATAGCCTGAAGACAATTTTATATAATATTTTAAATAATTTTGTGCATGAAACAAAGTGTTTTTTTTTTTCTCTTCTAGTGAATCACTGAATGAAAAAAATTTTGACTGTGACCTGTCACGTGAGATCAGGTGTGGCGTTTTCTAGTTACGGCATCATGTAAGTATTCAAAAAGTTTTGAATTTTGGAATATTTGAGATTTCAGATATTTGGATTAAGGATGCTCAACCTGTAGTATCCATACAGTGAGAGACTAAAGCCAATGCAAAATAAAACTTAGACTTTTATATGTCTTTAGAGATTTTAGCACCTTCTAGCTAAAGGGATGGCAGTAAAATAAAAATAATTCAATAAAGGCGGATTTATTTTTCTATCTAGCTGGTGTCAATGCTGGCTCCTTTTTGGGGGCTGGTAATACGTTTCACTGGTAAGATTGTTCCATTGTTTGTACTTATCATAAACCTATGTATTTGTTATTGCTATTATGTTACAATTTTGAGAGTATGTTTTCACTACCAGCAGTTATAATATCTCAACTTGGCATTGTTAAAGAAAAGTATGCCTGGCCACGTCAGTGACAAGGGAGACACTTCTGGTCTTTCAGACTGTTTTGCTTAAGGCGTTGGTCTTAAAAATAGGCAAATACATAACTCTCACTATAATTATATTGCTCTTAAAATGCACTGGCAATAAGCCTTCATGAGGCCAGCTGGGTGGTGAGTAGACAAAAAAGAGGGACTTGCAAACAGGTTGGGAGCCTAAGGGTTCATATCACCCCTAATCAGCCAAGGTGAACCATGAGATGAAGTCCTGGGTCAGGCCAGTGTTCTGTGTGACCGCCTGCCTGGCTCGGCATGACGGCCCATGAGGATCGAGACAGTGCGCTTTGTTGCTGCAAATTTAACAATGACATGGGCATGTTGTCACGAGGCTGCCAAACAAGAGCATTCTGGAGGGCTGCCAATGATCTAATACAAATTTCTCTCAGTTGTCAGAAATACCCAAATAAGGAATCTTGAAGAAGGATGACAACTTGCGGAAAGTCAGCTCTTGAACTAATTTTTAAATGAGAATGAAAAAAAGCAGGCCTAACTTCTGACATCTGGTCATACGAGGAAGTAGAAAAGCAAAATTCACCAGACATTCCGTACACTGGACTTCTCTTGATTAACTTACCCCAAATAAGCAATTAAGTATTATACCTCCAAATCAGTGCCATTAGGAAGAAATGAAGGAGCAATTCTGTAGCCGCACAATCTCTATTTTTTTGGTTTGGAAATGGATTTTTTTTTTAAAGAGTTAGGTTCATTGAGGTATAATTGACATACAGTAAAATTCCCCCTTTTAGTGTTTGGTGAGTTTTGGCAAATGTGCAGTCATAACCCCCTACCACAACCCAGACTTAGAAGCATTGCATCATCTGAAAAGTTCCCTCAGCTGCTTCCAGTCAATCCTCTCTTCTCCTACTGGTCTCCAGCAACCCTGATCTGATCTCTGTCTCTTTGTTTTGCCTTTTCCAAAATGCCATATAAATGGAATTATACGGCATGTAGCCTTTTGTCAATCTTGATTTTTTAAGAGTTCGTTGAGGAGAGATTGGATTGAAAGGGAATAGGAATATGAATATTCTGCTGGTTAGTGTCTGGGAATAAGCAAAGTTATTGCTTATATTTAAGCAAGGTGCTAAATGAGTTAAATTTTTTGCCTTAGATTTCAAAGGAAGCACATTTCTTTAGTTTTTCTTTTAATTATCATGGTAAATAGTTTCCAAAATGAAACCTCAGAGGTGAGGTTGAGTGTTCTCTAGACAAGGAGAAAGTGACAAAGATTCTTTGCTCTGCCAAACTTTAGTCAGGCTTCTGAACCTTCTCCTAGGCCATCTGTTACTCTGTTGCAAAAATCCAGCTTTGGCAAAGAACTCTGCCAAGTCAGTTTAGCATGAACCCCCCCCCCTTGATATCTGATCACCCTCGATATCTGTCTGATCAGGTTCCTCACCCTCCACCACCCCGCAGCTGATGTCTTGCCACCCCTGTTGTCTTCAGCAAGAATCCTGTTATGTTGGTTTAGCCAGAATCTCCCTCACCCTGATGTTTCCTCTGAGTAATTTTCCATCCACTGACCTCACACTGCTCCTTGGCTGTCCATTCATTCCCACCTGCCCATGCCCTATGGAGTTGAGCCTGATCTCTCTCACCCACTGCAAGACCCTCCGCAGCTGTCCCTATACCTAATATGATGATGCTGAATCAAGCCTTCCTTATCATGGTTTAACAAGCATCATGGAATAATTTTTTAATTTTTTCTTTAACAAAAAGGGCTGAAGCTCTCAAGGCATCAAACACACAGTGATTCCAGGCCCCCGCACTTAGGGTGCTGGGTCTAGGGTGAGGCAAGAGGCAGGGTCTGCACTCGTACAGGGCCCAGAGTGAGTGCTTTCTGCAAACCCTGGGGCCACCACGTGGTGTAGGATGTTCCGCTAGCTACTGCAGGAACAGGAATTGCTGCCTGTTCCATGCCAGCGATCCAGAACATCTGGCGATACTCTTTAAATCTAAAAGGCATTTCTTTCTGTAGCATTCGGACCTCCTGGGGTTTCTCCTCCAGGTTGGCTCTCACCACCTACCTCACAGATGACTGGTGCTGCTTACTCTTCCGGGAGGAGGTGGTGCTGGTTGGCTGCTGCCGCATCACATGGGCCACACCCACGTTTAAGGGCTGGGCTGCAGGAAGGGTCACATGACCGGTCAATAGTGCAGGCTGCTGCATGATGGGATTGTAATGGCTGCCGTGAGCATGCGTGTTCCTGAAAAGGAGCCAGGAAGACAAGGGACCTTAGTGATCTTATGAGAGAAGAGCCCCTCTGTAAGATCGAGTTTTCTCCCCAGTTAAAAGCTGGCTGCAGTTGATTATCTCACTACACTGTGAGGTTGCTAAAGAGATGAGCCTGGCCCAGCGAGCTCAGCAGCGGGTTTCCTGGGTGCGGGAAAGTCAAGGTGCTGTTCTCACACAGTGGGAAGAACACGACCAGCTGGCGAGTGAGAAAGAGGACGTTCACGTGGAAGAACGCCAAGTGTGCAGGCTCAGAGTTTTTAAGTTCTGGGGACAGGACATAAATATTCTCACCAACTTTTAAAGTCCCTGAGCAGGTGTCTAGGCTTGAAGAATAATATGTGTATTTTATCTTAGAATTTACAAAGTGCCTTCAATGGGTTAGTTCATTCTACTCTGTGAGGGAGGCAGGGGATGTTAGTAATATTATTTTATTAATGAGGAAATTGTACTTTATGTGAAAAACAAACTTTCAAGACTGGGAGCCATATGTTTCTCGCGTTAGGAAGTGTTAATGTTCTTTTGAATTCCCTCAGTGGCTAGAACAATGCTCAGGCATGTAACAGCTGATCAATTAATTACACGCTTCCTGAATGAACAATTAGATTAACTGAAGGTTGACTAGACATGTGTAGAGTTTGGTATTAAATCAAAATTAATAACAGTCATCACAGAAATACTGGCAGCCCTCATCCTAAAAATGGGTTATGTTTCAAAATTCTTATAATCTGGATTGTATGAAGCTCAAAGCCTTGTTTTCCCACAGAAATGTTAAAAGTGGTGATTAATTCAAAGATTTGCCCATAAGAGCCCATTTAACACATAACACAATTAAAAGCTAAAGGGGAATTCATTTGAATTTTTAAAAATTATAAGGTTCTATCTCTGCAACATGGGGAAAAGGATGAATAGGAAAAAAAGAAATAGATCAACACTTTTGTAAAGATCTTGATAGAGTCTTTTGGGCATTTGCACAGACTTTAGAAACTGATGTTATGGCTTCTTTATTTTGTTGTAGCTATCTCTCCTGGAGACATGTGGCATTCTTCTCCCTTTGATACAGGCCCAGCACTGGTACTTCTCTTTTGTTTATTAGCCACGATGATGGATATTCTTTGGCCCACCATGAAATGGAGAGAGATTGGGAAGAAAGTGTGTTGGCTTTAGATGTTTTCTGCAGTGTCTAAGTAAGAGATGTAGAGGAAGGAAGGAGGGAGGAGGAATGAGAAAATATGCGTGAATGAGTGCATGAATATTTCTGAAAATATATGCACTACAAGACAAAGGAAAAAAAGGCATATGTATGCGTTATGGTCTTTTAGGAGAAAAAGGAGTGAGAAAAAAAGCAACGGTCAGACGACTTTCCACCTGGGTGCTGTTCCTAACGAGTGGGAGGAGGAAAGGCGAGTCCGTGTGATTGGGGGAAGGGAAGACGACAGGTTTATTCATTGCCTGTCGTGTACCAGGCGCTGCTATGGTGCACATTAAGTACAGGCCTAGTGCACTGTATCTTATCTTAATTTAAATGTCCCAATAATTCTATGAGGTAAGTTTATGATCACCACTTTATTAAAGCAGAAACGGAGGCGCATAAAGGTTAATTTGTCCCAGGTCGTACAGAGCCAGAATCAAACCCACTTCTTCCTGGTTTGAAAGTGTCTCCAATGAATGGGGGTCAGCGGGCAGGGGGGCTGTTGCCAGTGGACCATGGGGAAGAGCCCCTGTACTGTCTTCTTTGTCCTAGGCAGAAAACTAAATGGAGGAGTGGAGGGAGCTGCAGTAAGGCTTTTATCTCTACCTTTCTATCTTTTTCAAGGAGTTCTTAATTCACACTAGCCTTTTGGGTTAGAACATCGTGGGGGGCTCCCTGGGTGGTATGGAGGCTGTCGAGGGTGGAAGAGAGTGACCTGCCCTGATGTTTGTGCTGAGTGAGACACAGCCCAAAAGGGCCATGGGGAGTTGGGGACGACTTGGGGAGTTGCCATCTGGCTCTGCACTGGTGAAGAGAGGCATTGTGGTGGTGCTGGGGGGAGGTACAAGGAAAAGTGGGGAGTGGCTATAAAAAGAACAGAGCAGCGTGTCTGTGAGGAAGTCAGGTAGATGGGGTGGCGTTCTGGAAACAGGTGCAGGGGGTACAGTATGCTGGCCCATGGGCAGCTGGATGCCTCTGGGGTCCAGGGGACGTGGGCTCTGATCTGGAAGATATGACTATTAACTGAGGATGCACATTCAACAAACAGGCCAGAATCCACCCTTCCAAATCAACCCCCTTCTGTCAAGCCTCCCCCTGGGAGGTCAGATAGACTGCAGTGTGACCATGCCTCAAAACACCTTGAGAACACCCTAGAATTAATTAGGGCTTCAGGGACTCTCTTCTATATTCTTTTACTGGTGACAAATCTTTATTTTCTGAGAGAGGAATTTAATTCAGAGAAACAACCAAAATCATCCAGAACCAAGTCTGGTGAATCACACGGGTGATTAAACGATGTAACTGAATTTGGGGTGGAAAAACGACAACTGAACATAAATTAATGAAGCTTATTTTCTTGTAACCTGGTACACTATTTAAAAATAACCTCTTGTTACACCTTAGTCATAGTCCACATAATATATATACATATGTGTGTGTATATATGTGTGTGTGTGTGTGTGTGTATAGATATTTTTTTTTTTTAAGAGATGAGGTCTCACTCTGTTACCCAGGCTAGATTGCAGTGGCATGATCATAGCTCACTGCAATCCCGAACTCCTGGGCTCCAGTGATCCTCTTGCCTCAACCTCCTGAGTAGCTGGGACTACATGTGCACATTACCACAGCTGGTTAATTTTTTAATTTTTTTTAGAGTCAAGGTCTTGCAATGTTGCCCAAGCTGGTCTCCAACTCCTGGCCTCAAGCAATCCTTCTGCCTTGGCCTCCCAAAGTGCTGGGATTACAGGCGTGAACCACTGTGCTCAGCCCACGTAATATTTTAAAAAGCTTTAAAAGGCTCTCTACAAACCAGGGAATTCAGCTGCAGGCCAGTCTGGCAGCTCTCTGCATCAGTGGTGGACATGCCTCTGATCCCAGATGTGCCCACTCACCCTCAAAGTGTTGCCTACTCACCTCCAGTCAGCCAACTGCTGGGTGCCCGCCATGGTCTCGGGAATCACAGTGGCATGCTGCACTGACGTGTGGGTGGCCACTCCAGTCAGCTGCTGCCATGCTGGGGGAAGCAGGATCTGCTGGGTCCCACTCGGCCAGGCCTGCTGGAGAGCAGAGGATGTTTGCAATGACCATGTTTGTTAATTACATAATTGATCTGCATGAATCCGGCACTCATCTGTGCCCAGGGTTGTGTTAGACGTTGTGATGGGTATGAAAGTGGAGACCTGGTCTCTGGTCTCAAAAACTAAGCTAAGGGGAGAGAAAATTAACAAATACAGTCTGCGCTCCCCAGGCCCACCCCGGCTCCATCTTGTGGGCGACCAGGTTGGGCTTTTTAAAAAAATTAAAAAACAAAAAAAAAACAAATATAAACTAAACAGAAGATGATTAAGTACAGGGGCACAGAGTTATATGAAAGGGATTCATTCACGTTGAAGAATGATTTATTTATACATTTGCTGGAATGGGCAATGCTCAAAGTTTCCAGTTCACCTGTTGACTTGTTCTGTCACACAGAGGATTGGGAGTAGTTGAGTTGGGCCAGATGCGGGCGACTCCTTGCCCTCAAGAAACTTTCTACCTGGTATTCCTTTATTTAGTATTCTATCTTTTGTTTATCAATTAGAATCTAGAGTTCCAACTTGTGTTATCTTCTGAATCTAAGTTTACATAATTCTGAGATCACCAAATATCTGGAACCGATATCTGAGAGCAAGTATGAAGTTCCGCTTACTTGAGAATTACTTCAACCCCTCAAAGCAAAAACTAGAGATAGATAGGAAGTCACTGCTTGAATCTTTATAATATTAAACTTGAGTCTTTATAATATTAAGATTTTTCTAAGAAATCTAAAATGAACTTTTGTGACTCCTCCTTGGTAGACTTACTGGTTTGCTGGTATTGTGTTTTAGGCTCTTTCTATCCTCAATCACTGTCCCTCCTGCCTTTGGTCATTAAATGATTCAGGCTGAATATAACTGTCCAAAGTTGGACACCTAAAGGACCATCACTATAAAATACCCTTGGTGAGGACAAGGATTTAAAGATTTGATATCTTAGTTATATTTCTCTCTATTGGGCTGGACATGACTAACATTGGGTAATTTATCTAATCGGTGCTCCGCAAACTGTGCACGTGTATAATACGTATACTTTGACTCATATGCACAAGCAAGCACTTCTGGAAATGGATTACAAATTTGAGTCAAGGTTTAACAAACACTAGTGCTTATAAAAATGATATAACCACATTTTAGATCTGAGTGGACAGTTCACCTGTTCTATCATTTTCTTGTTGCAAATGAGGCCCAGTGAGATCTCTTGTACTTCTTTGATATTGCCTGTTTACTTTTTGATCTGTTTTGCTATGGGCAGAAAGCTCAGAGACCACACATGATATTATGAGTGCTTAATAAATATCTGTTGATAAAATGAAAGAAGCAACCCAACCAAGGCTATTAACTACAGTTGATTGCATTTCAGGTTTACTTAATTCACAGTAAACAGAAAAATAATTTAATTGATTAAAACAGTTACAAATTAAAAATATTCAACGAATAACAATTTCATTTGCAATAAGATTTCTACTGACTTAGTCATCTGGAACTCATTTCAGATCTCATGGAAAGCACAAGTTTTGACTAATGTCATTTTAAAAAAATAAATCTTGATAGCAAGCTAAGGTCATCGTTTTTTTCCCTATTTCCCTGAAATGGATATTAACATTTTACCTCAAAGAAATGGGGTAAGAAGGTTGTTTTTTGACTGCTTCCACAGATTGCTATGCTCAGCCCATTGGAGACATTTCATCAGACATTTTTATAATTTATTACTACTACTAAGAATGGAGCTAACATTTCTTGATGTGTACTGTGTGCCAAGCACAGAGCTAAATCATATATGGACTTCCTCTTAACACCAATCCTGTGAGGTGGGGACTACTGTTTCCTTCCGTTTCTCAGATGAATAAACTAAGACACAGAGAGGTTAAATAACTTGCCCAGAAATATGGTAAATTAAATGTATACATTTATGATAGTGAAGGAATAAAAAATATAGATTTATAAGGTCAAAGAGAGTAGGGGAGACACAATAACAATTAACAAAATTTTAGAAGCTGAAAAACTGATGGACAATTACTAAGTGAGTTAGTGGACTGAAGGAATCTAAGGTCAAGTCTGCATATTAAATGCCTCGGTTCCCAGATCCCTGGTGTGCAAGTTCATACCTCCCCCAAAGCAGGAGGCTGGAGGATTCTCTCTAGGGAAACTGGTCCAAGAGAAAAGAACCACAGATATGTAACTTAAGGACCAGGGGCTCTGCCAGTGAAGATGCTGGGCTTGCCTCTTATCAGCCTATAGAGAAGCCCACATTCAGTAGTCCCTCCCCCACCCTCGGCTTTCCAATTAGTTTTTCAGTGCTTTAGTCTTAAATATGAATGAACAGGAAGGGATCACCAGGCATTAAAGGAAGCTTCTAATATGAAAGAGAAAACAAACAAACAAAAGAAATTCACAGGAAATAAAAGCAATGTGGGAATCAGAAGAAAATTTCCAAAAATCTATAATTAATGTCTTCACAGTTAAAAATTATATATTCATGAAGATCATATATAGAAATATATATCTATATATCAATATCTATATTCACAGAACAAGAACAAACTCTTGGAAATGACAACTATGCCAACAGAAATGAACAATTCAAAAGAAGGTTTAAAAGTTGAAGAAATCTCTCAAAGCACAGAGATACAGAGAAAATAGAGGAAAAAAAGACAAGAAAATTGGAAGATCAATTTAGAAGTGCCAACTCTCAATAAGAATTCTACAAAGGAGCAACAGAGAAAATGGAGGGGAAGAAATTATCAAAGGAAAACAAATTTCTAGATTAAAAGGGCAAATAGGTCTGGGCACGGTGGCTCATGTCTGTAATCCTAGCACTGGTGGACAAGGCGGGAGGATTGCTTGAGGCCAGGAGTTCGAGACCCTGCCTCTACAAAAGAAAAAAAAAATTAGCTGGGCGTGGTGGCATGCACCTGCATTCCCAGCTACTCGGCAGGCTAAGGCAAGAGGGTCACTTGAGCCCAGGAGTTTGAGGTTGCAGTGAGCTGTGATGACGCCACTGCACTCTAGCCCAGGTAACAGAGGGAGACCCTGTCTCAATAAATATAGGCGAATAGGGTGTTCAGAGGACAATGTAAGAAAAAAGACCCATAAGAAAGAAGCACGTAGTCATGAAATCTGAGACCACTGAAGACAAAGTTTTTTCTTTTTAAGAGACAGGGTCTCACTTTTTCACCCAGGCTGGAATGCAGTGGTGCTATTAATCGTAACTCACTGTAGCCTAGAAATCCTGGGCTCAAGTGATCCTCCTGCCTCAGCCTCCTGAGCAGCTGCGACTACAGGTGTACACCACCACATCCAACTTAGGAGAAAGTCTTCAAAGCTTTCAGAGAGAGAGAAAAAAATAACATACTGAACTCAATATTCTCAAACACATCAACATATCAAACATACAAACCGTTTATGGCTCTGAAAGGGTTTGGGGCTGTATGATGAGATATATAGAAAACGATCCCAATGAAAAAATGAGACCGTCACTAACTCCAGGAAAAACAAAAAGTTGTATAAGAAAGGAATCACAATCACAGTACAGTATGAGGCTCAGCTGAGAATGTCATGCAATATTGGTGATAATTATATAACTATTACAAGGTAGTTGAATGAAAATTCTTTGGGAAGAATGGGAGAAAGGAAGAGCGAGTGAGTGCGAGAACGCGAAGGAGCATCTGCGTTTGTGTGTTATGGGGTTAGGAGTGGGTTAGAGAACTAGATCTTCATCTTTCGTAACAGGCAGTCAGTTGATAATACCTAAATTGGAAAGACCAATAAAAAGCAGTCTACGGATGTTACTTAGAAACATGGAGTTAAATAACAGATTAAACAGTGAAGTTAAAAATTATTGTTTTGGGGGAGTATAAATTAAGGAGAGGGTGTAGAGGACAACTATTTTCTTAAAAGTTTACAATATCATTTAACTTTAAAAAATTATGCATATGTATTACTTTGAAAAAGAATTAAATTTAAATTTCAAAAATAACTTCCCCAAAGTATACAGCCAGAGGGGCTGGCATCTGAACATGGGCAATGCAATTAGAGACCAGGCTCTCAGCCAGTATACTACCTCTCCTTGTGGAGATAATACTCGAAAATGATGGTCCCTATTCGGGATCAGGCGTTGGAAGTAACTCCATAAAGATGGCATGAACAAGTCTTCCTAATTCAATATCAGGTGCCAAGCAAGACAGAAGCAGACAGCAGGACAATGATTGGAAAAACTGGTTGCAGAAAATGTTATCACAGGAGGCCGTGAGTGAGAAACACTGAAGTTTTGTGTTTTGGACAGTTTAAAGAGTTCAAGCCAACAGTTTGTCCTTAGAGAAAAATTAAAGGGGGTTCAGATGATATGATTCGACTGCATAGAAGCATGCAAAAAACTTCATGGAAGGATGGCATCTACAAGGACAGGGCATATCTGAATTTCTGATCCAGTCTTGCTAGTCAAAGAGAGTTTTGGATCCTGCCATTTGACCTGCGAGATAAATTCAGTACTGGCTCTATCAAGAACTGTACTTCCCATCTCTCCACCTTTACCTGCCCATTCAGTCTCTGTTGGTGGCCAAGATGCTAGCTGTGGCTTGAGGCTTGGAAGGATGGAGGTGACAGCTCCTTTTAGGCAGTACCAAAAAGGTTTCTTTGTAAGGTGATTCATAAAGATCACTCCCATGTCACTGACACAAGAAGGTATGATTACCACCCCCTCCTGCCATGCACACATCCTCTGGGTGTCCACAGAGCCTGGGTTCCCTGCAAGGGACACGTGATACTGCCAGGAGTGGGGAGGGAAGGGGCAGAGAAGTCAACATGAGGAGTGGATTCAAAGACTCCATCTCTAAACATTCACAAATAAAATCCTTGAACAGATATAAAATATTTAGATAAAAAGAACCATGCCAGCTTTTTGGAGACATTAAAGCAAATAATAGTATTTGGAATGCCTCTGCCTGATATCTAGAAATTTACCCATAGAAAAATGAAGGCTTCAGTTTTAATGTTTAATTATTGCTTTTTTATAGGCACCACACTAGTTTTATAAGTTAACTTATTTTTGTCCTTTGAAAGGATCATTTAAAAATATGCAGGAGAGAGCCACATCTCAACAGGCTAACATTGGCATGGATGAAGTGACAAGCAGAGAGAAAAAGAAACAGCAACTAACAAACAAAAAGACCCAACATGAGACCAGACAGGGCAGGATTTTTTTCACTTAATGTATCTTAGATATCTTTGCATATCAAGACACATAGTTCTACCATGTCCTTTTTAGTGGCTACATGGTGTTCCATTTTATACGTGCATCAATTTATTTAGCAAATCCCCTACTGATGAACATTCAAATTGCTTCCAGCAGTTCCCTGTTCTAAACACTGTAGCAGTTAAAATGCCTGTACATAAATTTTTTGTTCACTTTCCCAATTACAGCTTTAGGTTAAATCTACTTGGAGATTAACAACACTCTAGGGACTCTTTTTCAAGTAAGTAAGAGGTAAAGCTCTTCCCTGCTGTGATTAAAGGACTAAAAGATCCAGAGCACTGGGCCTGCTGGTTCTACCAAACTCACCAATGAAGAATGTCCATTTTAGCTAATAAGAGATGCTAATTATTATTTCTTTCAGAGATGGTTCCGGGCTTACTAGGGTTAAGTGTGCAAACACACACACAAAAAAGGGTCTGTAATTAACTTTTAAAGTACATGTGAATTCTATAGATTTTGGCTCACAAAGGAGGAGCAATGGGAGGCTGGTGTGGATTTTTGCCACTCGGATAAAGTATGACCAGGCTTCTTTGCCCCTGGGCTGAGCTTTAGTTCTTTCTTTTGATCTACCTTGGCCTTTTCTAAACTCCCCGCTACTAAACTATGCAAACAAAAGGAAGCTACAAGGACTGGTGAGAGAGGAAAGAACAGAAGGCCTGTTTTAAACATAGACGGTTCTCTGTTTACAAACTTTCAACAAGACAAAACTTTGTGTGCCACCAGTTCCTGGTGTTAGTGGTCACTTGCACAGTGTCATTTTGGACGTAAGCACAAAAAGACAAAGAATGGTTAATATCCATCTCAAACAAGCTATTTCAGAAAGCAGAAAAATTAATAATACTCAACATATTTTATGAGACTGGTATAACCTTGTACTCAATTAACATAAGGATTCTATAAGAAAAGGAAATTATATGCCATTTTTCACTTATGAACATAGATGCAAAAATACTAACTACAGTATTTACAAATGGAAGTCAGTATTAAAAAGCATACCACATCAAGAACAACATGATCAAATGAAGTTTATCTTATAAATACAAGGATAGTTCAGCATTACAAAATCTATTAA